CTTCTATCCTATTGCACGATAGTCGACTTTGATGCAAATGAAAATACTATGAAGATTACCCTATGGGGTGAACATGCCACAAATTTTAGTATCGACAAAGACATATACGATCTGCTGCGGTAGTAATCTTATTGTTTGCCTTGTCGTTGGTTGTATACCGCGTGAAGATTTCAAAAACAATGGTACAGCCTTCTTTTCAAGATTGGTCTCAACATTTCGAATATATTTACATATACATTGAAGACTAGCATAGCTTTAAAATACATGAACTACAAACCATTTTATTCCTTTGTGCTGCAGATCAAACATGCCTAGCTGGAAGCTCAACTTGCACTTACTATTTCAACCCTACCATTCCGGATGCTGTGCTTATCACTCCGGGTATAACCAAATGGACATCAGGCCAAATAGAAAAAAAACTCAAAATGCCCGAAAGGCGCTTGTACTAATATGCTTTCTATCATCAGGTTCAAAGATACACGGTCTACATCGAACAACCCGCACTGCAAGAAGAAGAAGCGGTTCCACTTTCGGTCCAAGACATTCAGCTACCGAGAAAGAACTATAGCTGACTGAACCATATTGATCCCTTTGATGACATGGTAAGTAAACAAATGAAGCCTATAAACTCGTCCTCCTAAAAAGCACCTCACATACAGATATTCCAGCCAAATTTGGTGGCTCTTTCAAAGCAATGCCATATGAGCTTTTTTTTGTTCAAGTCGAAAAAAAAAGCAGAAACTATTAGAGTATAAAACTCCTGAATTACTTGCTGCCGTGATGCGAGAAAGAGGGCCATATAAAGTTGCATTAACAATTGTGTCTATCACAAACACTACTAACTGGTGGTACATGTCTTGCAAGCCATGCAAAAAAAAAAGAGCTGATCAGCAGACTAGATGGTACCTACAGATGCCCAAAGTGTGGAGGCACAACAACAGTTCCTAGGTAGCTTTTCAGTATTTTCCCCATTTCCAAATCCGTAAATTAACTGAATATTTTCCAACCTATCTACAACTTTCGTTATTTATAACTTCTACAGTACCTATTATCATTTATTGCAAAAGATAACACAGATGAAGCACGCTTCTTTGCATATGATGATGAAGCAACCAAAATAATTCAAAAAGAGTGCGGTGCATTAGTGAACCCATTGCATATAAAAGAAGGATTGCCTCAGGCAATGAACAACATACTTAACAAGACATATGTGTTATCAGTTGATCTTACTGACGAATCGTGCAAAAGTATGAAAAAAAGGCAATACCAGGTCAAAGCAGTTTTAGATAAAAGCCATCAAACGCCCTCCGCTGCGCAGGTCATGGCAACATCTCGGTATCACCCGCCTCACACAACAAGCCCAACACCAATCGTTGAGAGTCCGAACATTCAAGCAGATCAGATCCGCTTCGATTGAGGCATTTGAACAATCGGTAAGCAAATTTTACTGACTTCTTTAGCAAAACCATTCCATTTGATCTACTGTACTCCACTAACCAACTTTTTCGCTTCTTACAGACTCCAGCACATGATAGCGAGCTAGAACATGAAGCCTCCAAACATGATGTCGACAGGTACATAATAGTCCACCATTCTACACTTAAACTCCGCAGTAGATAGAGACATGTATACTGGTTACAAGCAATATACATAGTCAGTAAACAATCCCAATTTATGTAAGGTCACGAACAACACGGACAGGTGCTCGCAAGAAGCTCTTCGGCGACACTGATTCGGCCGAAGCTACAGACACACAGCAAGATCAGCGTGCCAAACAACCACGTCCATCCTCCTCAGAATCAAAATCAAAGAAGTATGCTTTAAAGAAATTTAACCTACCATCTTTTTATGTCCGAACATCTCTACAGACAAACTCTAAACATAGATACCGAGTATAGTGCTAACTGGTTTTTTCCCAGGCAAAAAAAAAAAAAAGAAGACGATGCAGAGAGCCACTCGCTGGAGTAAGCCAACATCTACTTCTATGTGCTATTTGTCATGTCTGTGACAAAGAAGATGATTGTCGACATATAACAAGCTTTTGCGTCCCAAAAAAGACTGCTGTTCAAAGAAGTCAAACCTATATGTAAATTATCGAACTACAATGCATCGAACTCTGTGCTGCATGCATCAGCCTATGATGCATCAGCTTCTATGTACTATTTGCCGTTTCTGTAATCTAGACATAGCTATGGGAACCACGTACTATGGATGTATCAGCTCGAACTGTCGCTATGAAATCTTGATGTTCCAGTTGTATATGAAACTATATCATCCTTTTGTAAATCCTAGATAAGTTATGCTAAAATGTTATCAGACAACTGTCGCAGCTCTATTTTCTTACCAGTACCATGATCCACAGAGAATCAAAACCTCGCAAATTTCCTAAAAATATATCTATGTTACAAAATAAACCATAAAAACCAGCAGGTACCGACAATAAAAAACGGTTTCCACAACTACATTCAAAAGCAATTCCTACGGGCGCGCGCCGCCATACTAGTATATCACAATATGTGTGGAGTCTAGTGTTTAGCAACAATATGTTCGGTGAAGGGTGTAGGAGTAACAAGCTGGCAAGCCAATGATAGTGGTTTCACTAACTCACTGTAAAATGTAATTTTTATCAAAGATGTAAATGAATGGTCTGAAATGTGCAGTGTCCGATTGTTTCTCTGAAATCAACAAATGTAATGTTTGGAAGAAATATGTGAAGAAATGTAAGAAATTCTCTCATTCCTTTTTGACAAAAGAATGGCAGATACTTCTTCTTTATACAAAAAGGAAGTATGAATCATTCTTTTCGTATGGGACCAGTCATTTATGGAACTAGTGAATTCTCTGATCCTTTTTCACAAAAGAAAAAGACTTGTACTTCTGAATTTTTTCACCTTCACTTTCAGATTGCACATTTTAATTCATTCTGGTCTACGTACCAGTCATAGAAGAGGCTTTAACATACATACTCGTACATATTTATCATTTAGAGGTTTCACACGTTTCAAAGGTGCTGAAAAGTTTCTGCCATAGGCAATGCAATGCAAAGTTGCAAACAGACTGAAGCGTGAACAGATTTCGGTTCAGTCAATGGATGAAACATCCAACAGCAGCTACGGAGGGTTGCAGGCACCGGGCAGAGAAGGGACAGAGGAGTGAGGAGCCCATGCAGATGATGTCGCCTAACATGCTAAAAACGGCGTGGCTAGAGCCTGGACGTCCGGACACCGAGTCTGTTCGCTGGTTGGTTTCTGGGCTGATAAGCTCGGCTAGTGCTGGTTTATTATGAGAGAAAACACTTTTGGCTGGCTGATAAGCCCTGACTGAAACCAACAAGCAAACAGGCTGACTAGCTCCATCCGAACGCTCGTTCCTATCCCGCCGCGCTATCCGTCCTGAGTGCTATGCCTCACCTCCTCCTGCATGCCTGCCCCAGCGTCCAGCGTCCACCTGCACGCGCTGCTCCCTTAGTCTAGCATGCGCCAGCAGTGCCCTCTATCTACTGCATGCAGCTGTAGGAGTGACAGCAATTTTCCTCCGCATGCATGGTTCCCACACGAATGTGCTCCACTCATGAAAAGATGGAACGGCATCTGCCCTGCCTACAACCATTGCGCCTGCACGCCCGCCCCCCGCATGCTACATGCAGCTGCTGCACCGGCACGCCGTGCACATACGCATGCAGCTGGAGACCGCGCCACATGCCTGTTGACGTGCGCACACGCACGTGGGGACTGCATCTGCACGTGCCCGCTTCTTACGCCTGCTAATGTTGCAACATTAAAACACTTCTGCAATATATGTCTGAAACAGATGAAACATTTATAAACATACATTTACAACATATGTGTATATCAACTACAACATCCAGATAAACACACTTGCAACATTCGTCTAAAACATGCTAATCATCTTGAATAGACTCTTGCAACATATGTCTGAAAAATATGCAACATTGCAACAGATGAAACACTTGCAACATAGAACTAAAATAGGTGAAACATTTAGGACGTACGTTCGTCCGTCCTGACAGGAGCATTACCGTGCTGAAAATCGCATGTTTGGAGGGAGGAGTCGGTGGTTTCGTGCCATCGTCGTCCATGTGCTCGCTGGAAGCCTAGAAGAAGCCCGTTGCCCTTGTCGTCGTCGTTGCGCGTGCGCCTGGAGCCTGGAGGTGAAGCTAGCCGAGGAGTACACTTTGAGGAGCGGAGGTTCGATCGATTCGCTCGGTCGTAAACGATCATGGATTATAAGGTAGAACAGTATTTTTCTCTCACACCAAACTAGCCAGCAATAATAATCCACGATCGTTTCAGCCGAAACGAACAGCCTGACATCGGAGAAAGATTGAACCGGGCGCGCACCGAAATTTCCTTCCCACGTTTTCCCACAACGAATGGCAGTTGGCCCTGCACAGCCGACCCTGCCGTACACGTGTGAGCTTATCATCCATTCATCCCTCTGCACTACACCGAGGGGAGCTTGTCGCCTTGTCGTCGTCGTCCTCGTCACTCGCACGGTCACTGGCCCCATATCTATGGCCTTGTTTAGTTCATAAAAATTTTCGCGTTAAATTATCATATCAAATCTTGCAACATAAGCATAGAGTATTAAATATAGACGAAAAAAATTGATTGCACAGTTTGATTGGAAATCGCGAGACGAATGTTTTAAGACTAATTAGTTTATGATTAGCCATAAGTGCTACAGTACTAACATGTGCTAATGATGGATTAATTAGGCTTAATAAATTCGTCTCGCAGTTTCCAGACGAGCTATGTAATTAGTTTTTTTATTAGTATCCAAAAACCTTTTCTGATATCCCCGAAATATTCAATATGACATAAAAAATTTATTTCACGAACTAAACGCAGCCTACGTAATAAATCAATAAATCAGTAAATAAATTAAGGATCCGCAATTGCTTGAGAGAGCTACCGCTAGTGCGCTAGGTATTGAGCTACTGCCTCTCTGACAAGTCCCCAGCTACGCCTGCTACTGCTATGTCGTCGTCCTCGCCCGTATCAGCGGTTTCAGCCACCGCGCCGCACGTGGTGGACGACTGCCTCGGCATCGTGCAGCTTCTTAGCGACGGCACCGTGACGCGCTCCGCGGAATACTCCGCGCTCCCTCTCCAGGGCGAGGTGCCGTCCAACCTACCCGTCCAGTGGAAGGACGTCGTCTACGACGCCGCGCACGCGCTCCGCCTCCGCATGTACAGGCCCACCGACGGCAACACGACGACGGCCAATAATAAGCTGCCGGTGCTCGTCTACTTCCACGGCGGCGGGTTCTGCCTGTGCAGCTTCGAGCTGCCCCACTTCCACGCCGGCGCGCTCAGGCTCGCCGCGGAGCTCCCGGCGCTCGTGCTCTCCGCCGACTACCGCCTGGCGCCCGAGCACCGCCTCCCCGCGGCGCACCGCGACGCCGAGGCCGTCCTGTCGTGGCTCCGCGCCCAGGCCGAGGCCGACCCGTGGCTCGCCGACGACTCGGCCGACCTGGGCAGGGTGTTCGTCTGCGGCGACTCGGCCGGCGGCAACATCGCGCACCACGTCGCCGTCCGGTACGGCAGCGGGCAGCTCGCCCTCGACCCCGTCGTCCGGATCGCCGGGTGCGTCCTGCTCTGGCCCTTCTTCACCGCCGAGGAGAGGACGGCGTCCGAGGCGGCCGGCCTTGTTGACGAACACCAGTTCATGGGCACGGCGCTGTTCGACCAGGCGTGGCGCCTGGCGCTGCCCGTCGGCGCGACCAGGGACCACCCGGCGGCCAACCCGTTCGGGCCGGACAGCGTCCCGCTGGACGACGTCGCCTTCCCGCCGCTGCTCGTCGTGGACCCGGACCAGGACGTGCTGCACGACCGCATACAGGACTATGCCGCTAGGTTGACGGCGATGGCGAAGCCGGTCGAACTTGCCGTGTTCAGAGGCCAGGGCCACGGGTTCTTCGTCTTCGACCCGTGTGGTGAAGCTTCCGACCAGCTGATCCACGTCATTAGGCGGTTCGTCCATGGCGGCTAGCTGCCTAGCTTCCATTCCATGGCTGAGCATGAGCTAGCTACGTGCCAAGCTGAGGACCGGGTCTAGCTAGGGGTGAAGTGAAAACCAGATAGCAACCCGTACCTTCACCTTCTGTTTTCTATTTTTTAATATCCCACATTTTCATAGTTTTTAAAAAAAATCAAGGGGGAACGGAAAATTGAATGCCAAAACTAGGAGGAGATGATTCTGTGTTCGTGCATATTGTGTTGTCAACTTGTCATGATATCCCGCTTTTTATGCTTTCTTTGTCGGTTTTATGTGACAGCCTGGAACGTGAACAATTAAGGACTATTTGGTTTATTCTGGATTGGTTGCCCTGGAACTATTCCAATTGGAATGGCAGGCTTATTTGTATTAACATGTATTAGCCGGAATAGTTCCACCCTCAAAACCAGACCAAACAAACGAGTCCTAAAACTATGATGTTTATATGAATGTACTCTCTCTTAGGATCGTCCTAGTTAATTGAAATTCTTTTAGATTTACCAACTCTATATATAAAAAGATAATAACATTTAAGACAACAAATAAATACATTATAAAAATATGTTTCATGACATATCTAATGATACTAATTTGATGCCACAAATATTTGTGCTCTTTTTAATAAATTTGGTCAAACTCAAACTAATTTCACATTGACAATTCTAGAAGTTGTTTTAATTAACTTGAGACAAAGGCATGTGTGTCAGAGTGTTACACATTACTAGCTTGTTGATGGTCACTAAACACCCAATTTGATCATCAACATTCCATCCAAATCAAGGTAAAACATCACATGTGCCATATTATGTTTATAATTCACCTAGTTCCACTTTTACTTGAAAATTTTATTTGTATGCAGAAAAAATCATAAAAATGGACAAAAGATGTGAATAGGAGGCAATGGGACGTGGCAGGGGGTGTGGGCCCACATGCCACGTCGGCCGATGCCTAGGGGCGTCGCCCAATGGCCCCACTAACAGACCAGGGTCCTAAGGGTTTCCCATAGGGGCACTACTTGGATGGGCCCTAAGATGGCCCACGATCTGTTGAAGCACGCAAGACAAGGTGGCATGGACTTCAAGCTATTTTAAATCGACTTAGTCGGCTTACTATGAAAGCAAGATTCTATAATAGGACTAGGACTCTTCTCTTATAACCGACTAGGACTAGATACGTGCCCTTACCCTCTCCCATATATAAAGAGAGGTATGGTGCACCCCCTTTAACCCTAACAATCATACCAATCAATCCAACGTAAAAGGCTACACGCCGACTGGACGTAAAGGCTATTACTCGACAAGAGGATCCGAACCAGTATAAATTGTTTATCTCTTTGCGTTAAATGTCGAATTCTGCATACGCCGAAGCCCTTCGAACATCGTCCCGGGTAACCCCGTGACGAGTTGCCGGTCATCAAACACCGACAGCTGGCGTGCCAGGTATGGGCTTTCAGTGACTTTGCGATCGAGAGCTCGGCGGACCTCGACGACATGATTTTTTCGGCGAGTACCACCTTCATCTTCGGCTCCTAGATCTGCAAGGCAGACGACAACGGCAAGCTCCAAAGTCGTCTCATGGAGATCTCGGCGCCTGAAGCTATGGGGGTATAATCCCAGGTACCCACGGCAATGGACATGAGCCATGCCGCCAGGGGAGGTCCAGCCCATAAGATCAAGGCCTACGATGCCTAGTTCTGGTCGACGTGCACCGCAAGGCAATCAAAAGACATCTTGGCGATGAAGGAAGATCTTTTCGAATATGATAGATATCGTATTCCTTGTAAATACTTACCATATAACCGAATAGATCTAGGCCTAAACCGACTTATAACCCTACGCCCATACTATATAAGGCGGGTAGGGACCCCCCGCGAATTCATCTCATATCCAATACAATCCAACAAAGACACAGGACGTAGGGTATTACGTCGATCAGATGGCCTGAACCTGTCTAAATCGTTGTCTCTGCGCCTTGTGTCACCATCCGGTTTCTATTATGTGCCCCTCCACCGATCATCTACTACCGTGGGTATACTCCTCGATAGACTATCGACCAGATTTTGTCGACAGTGGCGCGCCAGGTAGGGTGTGTGTGTGCTGATTCCATGGCCAACCAGATGATCACTTTCCCGAGCTCCATGGCCTTTCCCGAGCCGGGCCAGATCTTCACGATCGGATCCATGACTTGGATCATCGGCCCTGACGGCAACAGGGAGATAGTGGAAGCGGCGCAGGATCACCCTGCGCCGATCACGCTAACACTTACAAGGACATCTCTGATCCCGACGCCCCACCGCTGGGTTAGGAGATCCATCAACAATGATGATCTGATCGCATCCATCGATCGGGTCACAGACCGCTTAGCAGAATGTCAGCTCCTCGTGGGTTCGGTCTTAGATCAATCCAGAGCGAGCGACGAATTTCCCGTACTCCAAGATCACCAAGCCGCTACAACCGAGCGACCTGCTCGGCCACTTCGTTCAAGGCGGCCAGATTCCGATCTAGTGATCACGGCAACTCTGGAAGGGCGTACCGTTCAACTTTAACCACTCCCCGCCCCGACGGAGAGTATGTCGAAGCCCTTTTCTTTCAGGCTGGTGGGTGTGGGTCCGATCTGTTAGGATGTCGTGCATCATCTTTTCGCCGACCACGTCGACGACCTCTATCAGATTGACTTCCTTGAGGCCGACCAGCCTGCGCCAATGGTAAACATGGTGCAAATCCAAATAGACCTTCTGGATGACACGCTCCAAACAATCCTAGAGGAAAGCCCCGAGCCATACTCCGAAGGCTCTACCAGCACCTACCCACCTTTCCCTCTAGGCTTTAGGAGAGAGCTCTTCATGGTGAGCCACGATAGCATCGCTATCGATGGAGAAACTAGTGTCCAGCGCCGTGAGCGCGAAGCTAGGAATGCTGATCGCCAACGACGTCGCAACGAAGAAGAAAAAAACACCATCCAAGCTGCTGGGGGTGGCCCGCTGCCTATCGCCCGTAATCTTCAACAAGAGTTCCTCATGGTGGACAACCAGCATGTGGAGCAAACGCCGAGCGCCAATCTAGCTGTGGCCACCCATGAGTTGCTAGACTCCCACCAACGCCGGAGGTACTCAAGATTCAAGCACTGCTTAAAGTAGCTCAGATCCAAGTCAACGACATCCGAAACCCAGCTCCGTCTTATTCGACAGCGACCGCACGTAGTCATAACCCCCATAGTTTTTGCCGTGATGGGGGAGTCGTTACCATAGCGGCCAGATCGTCCAAGGGGGGTCCAGGGGCAATGTCGCCATCAATCCTAGATCACAAGGACCATGAAATTAGCATGGCCGACCATCTCGTAACGCCAATCAGGAGGTTAATCAACCCCTACGCAGTGATGCCTGTGTCTGCATCAACGCCAATCTCGATGTCCGTAATCGCATCGAGAATAGTCGTGCCCAACGACATCAGGTAGAACTCCAACGCCGATAGGAGTACGACGATCAACACAACGACCTTGTCGTCCTCCAACCACTCCCTGCTATCGAGCCGGTGGGACCCTACCCCTTCACAGCAAGGCTGCAAGCTGTATAGTGGCCCACAGGCTTCAAGGTCTTCGAGGTCGATCCCTATGACGGCAAGGCTAATCCCGAGTAGTGGTTGTAGCTTTATGAGATTGCCGTACGTGTCGCCAGGGGAAATAGTGATGTAATGGCAAATTATCTGCCTATCATGCTCTCCTAGATAGCCAACAATTGGCTTATGGGCCTAAGGGAGGATTCCATCGAATCTTGGGATGATCTCAAGAAAGTCTTCGTCGAGAATTACATGGCAACATGCCAACAGCCTGGCACAAAATATGATCTGGAGAAACTCCATTAGACCTCTGGGGAACCTCTGCGAAGCTAAATCAGGTGCTTCTCTGAGACAAGGAACACCATCCCAAACATCGGGGACAACGAGGCCATCTCCGCTTTCACCAGAGGACTCTATCACCATTAGGGATTGCGCTCCAAACTTTACCACAAGAGGCCCTAGACCATCCGGTTCCTATTACACACACCTCCACCGATCATCTACTACCGTGGGTATACCCCTTGATAGACTGCCGACTAGATTTCTTCAAACCAGATGGCATACCTCAAGGTCAACATCATCCATGACAAATCGACATCTGCTAGCGGCGACACTCGATGTACCGATCGGCAACGTGACGCCCAGGAGAACTACGTCTCTACGTCTCCATGCCTCGGTGGCAACGAGCAACGTCCCTTGCACCAATGTACTAGCGGTGGTGGATGTCGCCGAGTCCAAATGTTGATGCCCCCTCCACGCTGACAATATCATGATCGGTTCGATCTGATGTTGACATGAGATGCAGTCATCAGGCCTTGGTGGTGGCACCTACTAATGCGGCTCACACCATCGACTCATCATCGTTGATTCGCTAGTCCCACAGCATCCTTCGTCGTCGCATCTTGCTATCAACATCGTTGGCTCATCGACCACATCACCGGACACGATCTAAAGGAGGGTGTAAATCTACAAAGAGACATGCAATGATCTGATACTCGTTAGCACTTTCAAGATTCGACCCCAGATTGAGATCAGCATGTCCAGCTGTCCATTAAACAAGCTAAGCTATATTTTTGTTTCAATTAAATATACGGCACATGTATACCCCCTATACATCTCAATTTGTCTGCATGGCAATTATTGGCAGGAACCTAACTACATCCCTCACCAACAATGTGGATCCCATCATCGTCTCGCGGCGGCCCTTTGTCAGCACGTCGTGGCTCTTGTTCTCATCCCTTGTCGGCGGCACTCGTCGTTCAGTCCTCAGGCCACATCGACAGCTCACCAACATCGCCTGCTCATCGGCGGCTCTGATCATCGACAGCATGGACCTCGTCATCGGCTTGTCGTCAGCGTGCCATGACACCCATCGACTACACTCCTCGTCATCGACAATGGCTAATCCAGCACGCCATCAATAAGCTCTCCCAAGTCGAA